ATGAAGTAAAAATTTGAGGGTGACCTTCCAAAATCCCCTCTATTCGTGATGATGATTGCCTATGTCATTGTGTGTTTTTTTTTTTTTTTTTAAATGCGGTTTCACGGCGTTATCTTTTTCCCTAAACGTCAAATTTAATTTTTAAATCGGAACACCACATTGTAAAATTTATTTATATACATACTTAATTTAAAAATGGCGATGTGTAATTCCCTATATACACTACATCCCAAAAAACCGCAACACCCAAAAGGGGTACTTTTAATTAAAGGTTTTGTATGTCATACTGCAATTAAATTCCGCTCCTTTGGCTCTCGACGATTAAAAAAAGTCATAACAATTGAAAGAAATTCAAAAACATGTTTTTAATTTCTCGTAGAGAAATAAGGATTTTACAATTAAGGTCTACCTTTTTTTTTTTCTTAATATACATAATATTCTTTGAACAACACGATACTTAAAAACATGCTTTAACTTCTTGTAAAGAAATAAGTTTGCAGTTAATTTCCGCCCATTTGGTTCACAGCGAATAAAAAAAAATCATCACAATTGAGATAGGGCGGGTGGGCGGGCTCATATTTTGCCTTTTTGTTTTAATATGTGTAGACTTCTTTTCACAACATGAAACTTAAAACATGTTCAAAATGGGAAATTTGTATAGGAAATATCGATTTTGCAATTAGGGTCCGCCCCATAATTTTAAGTTTCTTGTTGTGAAAAGATGGTTATGTATATTAAGAAAAAAAGGAAAAATATAAGCCCTGCCCACCCACCCTGTTTCAATTTTGATGATTTATTTTTATTCGTCGTAAGCCGAGGGGCGGAGCTTAATTATAAAATCCTTGTTTTTCTACTTCGCTTTATAACAAATTATGATCCTAATATGTATTATGGATATAAATTAGTGTGTCAAGGCAGACTAAATTAAGAAAACTTATGATCAGAAAGTTTGTACAATTTTTTTTTTTTTATTCTTTATATTTGTCATCGAAATCATTATTATTATATTATATAAAACATCAACCTCTCCTAATTACTCATTACTAAAATTTTTTGTTTTCTTTGGAATTTATAAAAAAAAATTAAGTGTTGCTTAACATACATACTTACATAAACATATCCAAATTCACTTGTTTTGAAGATCAAATTTTTTATTTTATATTTTATTTGAATCCATTTGGGTTAAGGTATAGGGTTTTCATAAATGTTTATTTGATCCAATCTAGTGACCTGTGAAATGTTGTAGATTTATCACTTTTTAATAATTGTAGGTAGACATTTTTTTTTTAGTTTTAATTAAGATTATTAAGATCTCATCTGTTAGAGTAATTATGACATTTGAACTTTCGTTGCGATGAAGATGATTAGAAATGTAGTCACTATAAATATATGTACACTCCGCAAGAGGTGGAATAAATCAAACCCACTTGGATGTTACAATCATTTATGAAACCCCTGTATAACTAGCACATTTTCAAAGCTGTTATTTCTCCAAATCGCCTTTTGTTATAAATTAAAAGTATAATTCTGATACATTTATATTTAAAATAAATTTTAAATTGAAGCAAATTTTTGTGTTGGCAATTCTGAATTATTGGTATCCGTGCTATATTAGTTCACAGTTTTCAAGTTTGACATGAGCATAAGACGATGGTGGCTGGAACTTTGACAATCAATTATACCATCATAAAATTTTAAATAGGTAGCCAACCTGACAAAAAAATCGGTATTTTGCATATAGTGACGAGACGCAGCCGAATCTCACCTAACGTTTTTCCACAGCTGCTTTTACAAAAAAATAATGAGAAAACTAATTATTTCTGAAATGCTGTCGTTTTATGTGTAAAAGAGTCGCAGTTTTATATATTCAAACTTGAATGTAGACCACGGAACGTGAGCATCACAACAACTGGATTTGTAACATCCATCTGCAAGCACCGACACTGAGGAAAATAAAAAGTGCTACTCAAAATCGCTAACAATTTTAGATTAGTGAGATACTTATTTCTTTGTAATTTTTAAAGAGATGTACATATGTATATATCTACGTAGTCTAAAAATGTAACATAGTAGATTCGTTCTACGTATAAATAAATTCAGTATCACGTGAGACTTGTAAACTGAAACCATTCAAAAACACTAAGTTCCGCCAGATTGAAGTTTTGCGTTCAATTTACAAGTCTTGCAGATGTAAGTTACTTTTCCTGATTGTTGTATTATTTTCCAGTTGAATTCGAATCGACTAGGCTACTGGACCTCAAAACCGAAACAAAGGTCAAAAGTAATTTTTCGGAGGAGTGCCTCAGATGTACCGTGTGCAACAAAATGTTCTCGCATCCGTACAGCCTGCAACACCACAAAGCAGTGCATTCGGGGAACACCAGGTGTCCGATCTGTCATGCAGTGCTGTCGCGAAAATATAACTTGAAAATGCATATGAGAGCTCGTCATAACCTTTAGAACTAGAAATGTGCCGGAAGTGGGTTTAGTAGAGTGAAATATTTGTTTGTGTTGTTACAGCGGAAGGAAAATTTCCCAAGAACCCTTGGCCGATTAGTACTGTAAAGTGTAATATCTGCGACAAGGTCTTCTCCCATCCATATAGTTTGCAGCAACATAAACCGGTCCATGCCGGTAACACACGATGTCCAATCTGCCATGCTGTTCTTTCTAGGAAATATCATCTCAAACTACATATGAAAGCCAGGCATAATCTGACATAGTATAAGAATTGTGAGTTTTTAAGGGTTTGTGAATTGTGGGATTTAAGCTTTATTTTAAGGTGTGTATGTTTATTTAAAATGTTGAGTGTGTCAAATTGATTTCATGGGTGAAATACTTGTAAGGAAAAGAACGTGATTTGATATATTATGAATTTTAATAAGTTGTTAAGTATAAATGTTGATATCGACCACGTTCACTTAGTTCAGTGACTACACTTTATTCTACCACATTTCCTTTGTTGTCAAAAGAGTGGGCAAGAAATAACAAAGATCAATTCATATTCTAATATTTGCGCCACAACCTTACCAACCGCCAAAATTGTTCTATACAATAAAGACACTTTCATTTGAATTAATATACATCATGTAGCCAACAATCTTATGTCTACAAACTGGCCTAGTACATTATTCAATTAATAAAAGTCGTTTGAAATTGTGATCAACAAAGTTGTATGATACTTGTAATGTTTTATTACTTTATAATAAGTTTAAATAATAATAGTACGAATAAAGTACCACTTTTGTCTTGTTTTCCGTAAGTGTGTGTATGGCGATAAGTCATTCCATACATGTTTTCACTCAGTTCTAAGTCTTTTTTTCATAAACTTGTTTTTAATTACAAATTATTTCGTAATCTCATCCTATTAAGTTACCAAAATGTATGTTAGATAAGTACAAATTCCATTGTTAAATTTAAAATTATATTTTTGTAAATAGTTGTTAAAAAATAGGTAACTTCTTTACGGTTGTCAAACTAGGGGTTGTTAACAGAAACCCAGTTATATTGTGTTCTATCAATTTGGTTGTTCCATTTTAATAATTATGAAATTTAGTTTAAGTTTCAAAGACCATGACGCGACGGTAAGTTTTTAGTAATTTAATTTAATAATTTATTAAGTTGGCAGAGCCAACTGAACGTTCGAATACATGGCTATAGTCTCTTTTTTTCCTTTATACAAGAAAATGTTATTTATAATGCGGATTATGCCAACTGATGGCTTTAAATTAGTTCTGGAATCTGTGTATGTACTCAATTAATTACCTTTATTATTTGTTAACACTTTTGTGATAGTTTTGTGTAAATAAAACAGCAGATTTTTTAGCTGAGGGGTAGTGCAATTTATTTCTTCCCTAAATATTTTTTTTGTTGTAAATACAATCTTTCTTAGGTGGTAAAATAAAATGCCCGAAGAAGGTAAGATAAAAACTGTAATAACTTCTTTCACTGTCGCCACCTACTGTTTCAAGATTTACAATAATATGCAAAATGCATGTTAATGTTAAGTGCATTTTTATGCATATTTTAGTATTTTTCCTGGTAATTGGTGAAAAATCGTAATTATAATATAATTTTAATATAGTTGTTTATTGGCTGTATACAGGTAAATAAGTACCAACTTTTTCTAGTAATGCGGACGGGTTTTTCCAAGACTTCATTTATGGGCACCCCTAATTAGGCGTATTACTGAAATTCTTTAAAAGCACTCCGCTAATGCATCGTGCTCTTAAACCCGTCGTGTTTTAAAGGCTTGCTTGTACACCCGTGTTATAATTACTAATCTATTTAATTTATAGGGGTTGTAAGAAATTATAGATATAAAATATTAATGTGTAAAAAAAGTAAAACATATAGTCGTCGGCAAATGGATAAAACCACTTGTTAAAACGTCAGGTTGGTATTATTGCCATGGTAATTTTAAGCCCCTCGGATTGGCAGCGCTTTGACGTTTGTAACCGACAATAACGTCAAACGACTCGTAAACGACTCAAAGAACTTCGAACTAGCGCAGCGTGCTTCAAATTCAAAAAGAGAGCGTTTCAATTTGAAAATAATTATTATGAAGCCAAGAACGCGAACTTTGTTCAAAAAACAAATAAAAGCTGCTATTGTAAAATGTTACGAAGAGTTTCAATGGGCATATCCTTCATCTTCCCAGCGTGAACACGAGTTACGACTAGCGAATATTTTTTCAGTACGAAATCTTGGTAGTAACCAGTAACTATAACATTTCCAACGTTACTTGTCCACCACACAGTTCACGTTGTCCATTTTTCACACCAACCAGTGACTCAGTAACATCCTTTTATCCTATCATTAACCAGCTCATTTTCCTGCAGTGTTCAAGAAGTCAAATAAGAACGCTTTTACTCCAACACAAATCCGGACAACTTCCCGAAGATCCTAGACCTTCCCCACGAAAGAAGTCAAAATGGTTTACGGATTTTGAATTCAAAGAAGACCTAAACTTTCAAATATTTGAAAAAAACTCGTCAGAATGAGTTTTTTACAATTCAGGATTTATTTAATTTTGCCACAGAAAATCTTAATTACAACGCAAGTATCCGGACTCTACGAAGGGTTATTAAATCCATGGGTTACAATTTAAAAAAAGTTGAAAACAGGAAAATTATAATTGAGTCGCCCCGCTTACAGGGATTAAAAATTAAATTTTTAAGGCGTTACATACAGTTAATGGAAGAAGATGTGACATTTGTTTATTTAGACGAGACGTGGTCAGCATGGTGTACCAGTAAGAAGATGGGTGCATGAGAGTGATCAGAGAGGCATGCCTGCGAAAATAGTAATGAATGAGGGTAGGAGGTTTACCATACTTCATGCAGGGGGTAAATTTGGTTTGAAGTGTGAATGGATGAATGCAGAGAATGATATAGAAACAATTATTGTAGAGGTAATAGGTGATTAATTTACCTTGCTAAGTAAATAAATGTCACACCTTTTAACAGTTATTGTATTAATGAGTTAGTTAGTTGTTCCTGTTTTATTCCATTGTTAAAGTTTTTGACAATACACTGATTTGTAACAGTTGAGACTACTGTTTACGTTCCTATAAATTATGTTCATTGAGAATTGTCTTTCTATCACATTTAGAACATTTCATTTTATTTAATTCCCTCCTGTTATTCAACCTTGGTGAATTGATCTGCTTCTTTACATCACTTCCTTTTGCTTCACGCTTTATCTCTTTAAATACTTCATGTAGTTTCTTATAAATTATAACCTACAATTTTCTCATATTTATTTGTATACAGTGGGCTCAAAATACTCAACAGTTCTGGTAATATTTCATTAAAATGTGTAAATCTTCTAATGACGCATTATTAGTACAAGCACCAGAGTTCTGTGATTCAGAAGAACCAAGCCATAAGTCAGTATCGTCCATGGCAGCACAAATAAGACTGATGGAAATATTAATACAAATTACAAACTGCCACTCATGTGGTGATTCTTCGTGCACCATCCTTGTACATAGATAGGTAAAAATACAAATAAAAGTTCCAATTTTCACTATACCTTTGGGTCGCACTTGCCCATTTTATTGATGTCCACCTTTTGTTAACGAGATGGTAAACTGTTAACTGCTTATACCATCAATTGTGGCAGTGCAGATTTATACTGCACTTTCGATTCCACAGTTTGATAATGGCGGTGTATGTGCACTGAAAATGCGTACCCTAAGCTCTAACCCACATAAAAGAGCCCCTTAATTAATAAGCCGTCGCCTTGTAAGCACAGAACCTTGTAAGACGGCGATCAAACAAATGTCAAAAAAAAGTAACTAATGTCATTAATCGTCGGCCATTTTCTCTCTAAAAAGGTACGGAAAGCCGTTTACACCAGCGAAATTTTGAAAACTTACACTAGGGAGTGGTTAAATCGAAATGCCGACGACTGTATATGCGCATATTTTAATACACGTTTTTTTCTGCATACAATTCCGAGCTTTATTAATTATTCACAACTTTCTGATTTGTTGGTCAATAACAGTTTTATATTTCAAAACGAATTCAAAAATTACAAATGTCAGCGTATACGATTGAACGAAGTATGTGCAACTCAAGTATATTTTATCGTTCACACCTCGTACATCTACGCCTCTGCTCAATGAAATGGTGTCACATAAAGCTGTGCGAATTATGTGGTGTACAGAAATATTTAATTTGCCTGTAAATAGTTACAGACTATGTCTACAACACTAAACTTTTTTATATCATGGAGAAAAAACTGAGAAAATTATGTCGAGTATGTATCAAAGAAGTGAGTGAAAATATAAATTTGTTTGATACAAAAATACACAACAGCGACACTTTCATTGTAGACTTTTTACGTCAAATTACGAATTTGGAGGTTATGTCGACGTAAACACTAGTTTTCTTAAATTAAAAACTATAATTCTTGCAGATAATTGAAACGGATGGATTAACTGATTCTTTATGTACAGATTGTTTCCAAAAGTTGTGTACAGCACACGATTTAATTCAAACCTGTGTCACTTCTGATACAATACTACGAAATGTTGCCAAAGATGAATGTGAAGAAAGCGTAATCCTAGAAACAAACTGTGATTCAAATGAAGGTGACCATGTGGATTCTTTAAAATGTGAAGAGAATGCTGATGAGCATGATGAACAAAGCATTAGTACATCGAAATGTGTGAAGTACACATGTAGCATATGTCATGTGTCGTTCAATAACAAAGCAAAATTTACAAAACACAGGAAAATTCACAATGACAATAACCCTTTCAAGTGTCATGAGTGTTCACAGACTTTTCCAAAGAAGTTACATTTAAATGTGCATCTCAGATCGCATATTAAAAATGAAGACAAGAAGTTCAGCTGTGGAAGTTGCAATAAACAATTCATGTATGAGTATTTATTGAAGCAGCATGAGTACAAACACACAGACGAAAAGCCTTATCCTTGTAAATTTTGTACTAAAGGTAAGTAACTACAAAAAATATGTAGTGCGTTCTTTGTAACTTGTGTTGGCAATTCTGAATTATTGGTAGCAATGTCAGTTGACAGCTGTCAATTTTGAAATGAACGCGTCTAACAAATGTCAGATTTGTCATCGTAAAATTTTAGTCATATTGCCAACCTAACCAAAAAATAAATAATAAAAGTTTAACATTTTGTTATAGGGTGCCTTACTGCTGAAAGTCTGAGACGTCATATGAAAATTCATGATAAGAATTACGTAAAAAAGAAGCACGCCTGTCAGATTTGCTTTAAAGAGTTTGCTTATCCCAGTTTTTTGGCAGAGCACATGAAAAATCACACTGGAGAGAAACCACACTTGTGTTCAATATGCGGAAAAGGTTTTCGTCAAAGTGGTGCGTTACACTATCACCAAAGAGTACATACAGGTTATAAACCTTTTATATGTAAAGTTTGTAACGGAAGTTTTATGTCTCAGAGTGTTTTAAAGGTGCATATGAGAAAACACACAAATGAAAGACCCTATGTTTGCCACATTTGTGGAGTTGCGTTTAGACAATCAACAGATTTGAAGAGTCATCAGAGGACACATACTGGTGATAAACCCGTTCTATGTACAATATGTGGCAAACGCATGTCTACTACAGGTATGTCATTTTTTGAAGTTGAGTGTGATTAATTTGAACCTTTAATTCTTTTAGGTCAACTGACTATTCATATTAGATCTCACACTGGAGAAAAACCATTCGTTTGTTCACGCTGCTCCAAAGCCTTCACTACTAAAACTATGTTGGTAAAACACGAACGAATACATACTGGCGAGCGCCCTTATGTCTGTGACATTTGTGGAAAGACCTTTAATCAGAGCAGTACTTTAAGAACGCATCGAAATACTCATCAGACGAATCGAAAAAGAAGAAAAGTTGAAAAACACAAAGAACCTCTAAGTACAAACGAAATAATTATAGAAAAAGCGTACGATACTGAGAATTGCGTTTTGTATAAAAATGAGATTGTGAATTTGGGGACCGAAATCGTCGCTCAAGAGTTTATGGGTAACAGTGTTCAAGACATTGAAGTAAAGAGCACTGACGGAAAAACACAGTTTACAGTGATTTTGCCGGCTCCTACACCTCTTCTTCACAATCTTTAATATACTTTGAAGGTATTACAGTAATAAAATACCCATGTAAGTTATTATTTTAATAAAAAAAGCCTTTTAAAAAGGTCAGAACAACCATATCCTTCGTTTACTTTAATAATCTGACGTGCGTAAACTAAGTTGACATCAGCAAACATTATTTATTGTAAAAAATTATGTTAGCAACAACACGTTCCTTGTGTAGTTTGATAGCGACGGTCAATTAATTATCAAATAGCCGCAATTACAACATCAATTTAAAAATAAATTTCATGGCCTACTAGACAACTTTTTTTCTATCATGTTACTCGCAAGCTAGTAGTCATAACTGATAATTGTTATGCATTATTAACTTCATGGACGAATAAATATACTTATATTTCTACCTCCATGTTTCATGATTGATCCAAGCCGTGAAAGATCGTAACCTTTCAATTCAACTGTGGGAATTTACCAACAATTATGAGTGAGAATTGTGTGATCTATATAACAGTTAGCCCTTCTGAATTGTAATTGATTTTTTATTCCAAGTTATAGAATTGGTATCAGAATTCGCAGGTTTTGTAACGAATTTCAAAGAACACTTGAATTCTTAATTCCTTTGTAATATTTCAGCAAGTACGCCACTGTTTTGACAGTTCTTCGATGGTCACGTGACCCTTTTGGACTATGCCGTGTAAACAATCAAACGAAAACAAGTGTCTATTAAAAAAGGCTTAACAAGTACATCGATACCACAAATGTCGAAAATCAAAATGAGAATGCGGAAAATTAACTTGAATAAAGTTTGTAGAACATGTTTGAGTGAACGTGGTCATTTAAGAGAAATATTTTCGACGAAGTTACCAAGAATGATGGAAAACTGTGCAGCTGTACAGGTAAATAACCACTATCAACAAATCATTTTTCGCTTCTAACATTCAAAACTTTAGGTTTCTGAAAAGGATGACCTTTCTCCCTACGTTTGTATCACTTGCTTTCATTTAATCGCAAAATTTTACACGTTTAAGAAAAAAATGGAGAGAAGTGATCGCATCTTAAGAGCCTATGTTCAACAAAGTGAAATTAAACAGAAGGATATTTTAGATATAGCAATTAGTGAAGCACAAATTGAGCAATCGAATAATGATGAACTGGAAAGTAATGTAAGTGAAGAAGATATACCTCTGAGTAAGAGGCAAGTTAAACAAAGTCCACGTTTAATGAGAAAAAGCAAAGTTAAAGCAAACAAAATAATCGACGATATTCTTAAAGACGATAAAGACAATAACTCTGAAGCCAGTGAAATTTCATTAGACGCAGTTAAAATCGAAATCCCTGAGGAATGCAGTTTTGATTCTCGTAACACCCAAAATTTCACTGATGGCCCCCCACCATTGGTACCTCTTGAGCCTACAAAAAAAAGTGACAATAATGGAAGCACAATTGTAAGAGATTTACCAGAAGAACCGCCTCCGTTAGTACCCATAAAACCGCTAATCATACCGGATAAAGCATTAACGAACGTGATAGAAAATCCAATAGAAATTAATCTGTGCTGCCCTACATGTAATCAAGAATTTAACTCATTGTCATCTTTAAAAGACCACAAGTTGAATAATTGTAAAGAGAATGCGTTGAAATGCAACATTTGCCGTAAAGAATTCAAAGAAAGGAAACGTCTGATTGGCCATTTAAAAGGTCACATGGTTGTGAAGGATTATGGTTGTAAAATTTGTGGGAAGCGCTATCCAAATCCAAGTACTTTCAGGGTGCACATGCGCACTCATACAGGAGAAAGACCCTTCAAATGTCAAATATGTAATAAAGGTTTTATTCGATGGGCAGGAGTGGTAGGACACATGAGAACACACCAATCTCACAAACCTTATAAATGTGACACCTGTGGAAAAGGTTTTAAAATATCTTCCAATTTAGAGCGGCACAAAGTCTTGCATTCTGAAAGCTTGCCATACTGTTGTAATTATTGTGGTAAAACGTTTAGCCAGTCAGATAATTTACAGCTGCATATACGTACTTACCACACAAATGAGCGACCATATCTTTGTAATGAATGTGGGAAAGGTTTTGTAAGTTCCACCAGACTAAACAGACATATGTGGGTCCATACTGGTTATAAACCATATCGTTGCAAAACGTGTCCAAAGGCCTACTCTAATTCCAATGATTTAAAGTATCATGAGAGGAATCATATGGGAAACGCTACTGATGATGATAAACCATACATGTGCAAAGTTTGTGAAATGAGGTTTTATCATCCATGTAGACTAAGTAAGCATATGAAAACTCATGAGAGGCCCTATTCTTGCTCTGTTTGTTTTAAGAGTTTTAGTACTGATACTTTATTAAATAAACATTTGACAGGAAAGAAAAGTACCCACTATGTGCAAGTTGAAGAAGTGCAGTCAGACAATGGTGTTAATCAAATATTCTTGGAATATTAAGTTGTTTATTGTGACGTTTGTGTAGGTTAGATTGTATATAAGAAAGAATGCACACATCTTGTAGTGAAGAATGGGAGTTGGTAATAGATAAAGTTTCTATGTTTATACACAACTTACTGTTAATGAATTGTAATAATAACGTGCCATCATTAAATACCTGGTGTTAATGGTAAATGTGGTGAAAATTATGTAGTTTAATTCTGTGCTGTGTACAGAGTTATTAGTTATAAAATATAAATAAATTTTAGCGCTTAGTTCCACATTTCTGTTTTATGAATCTTATGTTAAACACCGCAATTTCAGTGTGGTTATAGCTAGATCACGTTTGGAAAATGTTTAAATAAGACTAGTCATCAGTATTAACTGACCATGCAGGTATAAACTCAAACGCTTAAAATTACATTTTTTTTCAACTATTGACATTGCAACTCAAATTACTTAAATGTGAAGCTTTGAATCAAATTTTTGTGTCTTAAATTTTAGTTGTCAAATGCTGGAGGGATAATTTCATGTTTTCTCGATGTTTTATAACCTGTCGAGTGTGAATAAGTATGTCTCCGTTTCCATCTGTCTGTCCCCTGTTGGTGATTTTACTGGACTGATTTTTGTAAAATTTTATATTATTTTAGAAATATCGTTTAGATGGTAAAACCAGTGAAGAGTAAAACGTTAATCAAAATTTGTATGATCACCCCCACCAATAATTTGATGACGTCATCTAAAAATGTTCCAGAGTAAATCGCATTTATTATTGATAAATGAGTATATACCTGTGGTTTATTAATTCGCCTTTATTTTTTACCTTGAATACCAACATTTTACATTTTAGCTTAGGAATTGCAAAACCGAATATGTGCAAACATTTTAAGTTTCAAATCAAAATTTATCTGTTTACCTCGCCCCTCTATCTCTCTCTCTCAAAACTTGTTGTCATTAAAAAAAAAATGCTGGTTAATCCTATCTAAGTAAAAGGTGTAAAGCGTATGTGGTCGTTATGAAATTTTAATATAAAAAAAATGCAAAATTTTGTAATTTAGGTAATTAATATTATTTTATTATTGTATTTTAGAATTTTTATAACTCAGTGGTTATTAAATTCGAAAGCAATTCTGTTACTGTGGAAGGAAAAGCTCTAGTTGACAATTTCGATGTATGTGTTCTTTTTAAAACTACTAAGAAGTTGAAATGGCTGATAACTGATAATAAATATTTCACCTGAAGTGTTGTTTTTATCTGATGTTTACTAGAAATATTGAAAAATAAATTCATTCATTCAGTTCTAAGAGATGTTTTTAAAAACTCTACTACAATCTGCTACAATAATGTTTTGACTTATGATAACCCAACATCCCGCCATAATGAAACGTGCACAAACCGATAAAACCTGCGAAAAATTCGAAATTTGGCCTTGGATCCCAAGATTGGAGAAGTGTCTCCAAATAAAAGTAGTTGAATTGTATTAGAACCAAGAACATTTAAAAACCTGAAGGTAAACATTTCAAATTAGAAAAACGCTAATTAACTGGTTTTACACTAATTACACTCGTTGAGAGGATAATGGCGTCGAATACGTTTCATTTTATTTCCCGAGCGTAAGCTAAGCTATTTGAATATGATTATTATATAAATAGTAATCGAGTCCATAGAACGAATAGCCACTTTTATATTTTCTCGACGTTTCATAACTCCTAAAAATCTAGTCTCCCGTTTCCGTCTGTCTGTTTGGTGGAAATATCATGTACAATTACATAGTTTAGATGTTTAAAGGCTAACCAAAATTTTGCTAACCATCCCCACCAACAATTTGATGACGTCATTTCAATGAACCATATTTTAAGATGATTTGAATATTATACAAAAATATACTCCTACGCTTGTAGTGTACGAATCTGCTTTCAATTTTTTCGTTCAACGTTCAAATTTTCGCAAAAACATCTGCAAGGTATAATAATTTTACCAACACAGGGAAAGAGTCTCCGGACAATAGGCGTTGTGGGTTTCATGCCGAACTTGGCCCTTTACTTTTTTTTTTCTTTCACTGGTAATACACTGTGACTACTTTTCTTTTGTGCTGTGACTAGTGTAGGTAAGCAAAGAAAAATGTTGCTTCTCCGGTGGAAATCGAACCACACGTTTACCGCTTGCCGGGCGGGTGCCCTTACCACTAGACTACGGATGAGCTTATTTTCTCCACTTACCAACGTGTTATTGTGCCGCCACAACTAGTATTATCCATGTTGATGACGTCATCACAAATCTTTTATTGGTCAAATTAAGAACGAGTCACCCCATTTTTTCGAATGTGAAGAATACGCACGTCTTTATATAATAATGATAAAATAAGAGTTATAATATTCATAACATTTTGTTCGATTGTGGTTTAATTAATAATTTTAGTCCTCTGCTTTGAGACAAACTCGTTCAAATTAAACTAGGTAATTCTACGTGACATTGTTTCGATGTATAATCATAAATAAACACTTGAGAGATTGCCATTACCTAGTGCTGAAGGACAAGGGGGGTTATTTATGCCTCTGATTTTTACTTTACAGTGGTTATTACAAAACGAAAATTATAAAATCAAATTTTACAATGTTTTTAAAGAGCTGGATTTGTCGGATTATACTTATAAACTGGTCAAATTAAGAACCTCGTTTTTTAGAAAATGTGAGAATACCCACGTCTTTATTTAATTATGGACAAATAAGAATAATAATAATCATATTCAAAACATGTTGTTCCATTGTGGCTTAATTAATAATTTCAGTCTTCTATTTTGAGGAGGCAACTCATTCAAATTAAACAAATTTCTAAGTGACATTCTTTCGATGTATAATCATAAAAAATCTAAGTTAGGCATGTACACTGATAATAATACACCCTTTTCCATTGGTTATTTGCTCTGAAATATTTTTCAAACCTCCTTGGAATTTGTCATTTCCACCAGTGGTTTTTACTATATGTATAAAGGTTATCAGAAAACATTTTTTTTAAATAATTTTTCAAAGAAGCGGAATTCTTTGGACTGTACTTCAAGGGCGAGGGAAGTTCTGTCGATGTAACTTTGGGCCAATTTTTTATTTAAACAATTGCCCTTATGTAAAGTTATAAACAAAAATTGAGACGTACCAATTTTATTTGACTCGTGTTAACCCCCATAATAGCAAAACAGGAAGTGACGTGCGAAAAACAGGAAGTGAGTGTCTTACAGAACTCTCTAGAATAACCAACCTAAGGGGATTTTTTTGTTATTATTATAAAACGTTACTGAGATTTTTTTTTTTTATTTTTCAAATCGGGACACCACAGGGTCTTATAGAAAAAGAGGGATACTACGGTGCATGAGGAGGGGTTAAAAAGGGACCCTTCCTTAGGAAGAAAAGACGCGAAGTTCGAAAGTGACTCGGACGTGCCCTTCTGGCGGCCCAGCAGGGCCAAGTCGCCATCGTTCCTCATCTCCAAAAACCCCCTAGGGCTATATTCAGAGATATATTACATTTCAAACACCTTAAAAATATGAAAGAAAAGACAATCGCGAATTGACAGACATACACATATGAAAAACGAACAAACACAAAATCCTATACATGTGTTTGGAATCAATGCAAATATTTGAATATCACAAATTTAATAAAAACAAAGCTAAATCTGAATTAAAGTAACTGGATGCAAATACACAAGTTATTACGGGCGTGTGGCGTCAGATTTTAAAGTTACGCAGATAACAGGAGCACAACAAAAGTACCCCTGAGGAGTTCTAGCACAGGCGGAGTTTGGGGCTACCGGTCAGGGTTGTTCTCCCCCCTCGACGGTGATTCTATCTATCACAAAGCCTACCCAAACAGCACGTTACACGTCTCTAGGACGAACATGCCGTTCGAAACTAGGCTCAATCTCTTATAACTCTGATATTAACAACAACTGAATAAGTGTTAAAGTTTCAACGAGCAATAAACAACCTTTAAATTCGCCATACAATCTTGTGAAATTTTAAACAACAAATAATTCTTATATGAGATTAAAATTGGACATCAGATAATTTATACGGTGGAAACATTCATCAACAAAATATTTATAAAACAAAACTTAGCAAAGATTTATGAAACAAAAGACCTGGTGTGAAATAAACTTGTGTAAATAAAAATATTATGTGCGGTTAAAATTGCAGTGAATGAGATTTACGTTCAATTAATATTATACAATAAAGGAAAAACTGAGGTTAAAACTGTGAGATTAGAGAGATATTGTATGAGGTGAAAAATTGCAAAGTTAACAAGAATTAGCCCCGCGATTTGGGGAAAACTGGGTCGTTATAGAAATTACGATTGATTGTAGTTAAACGAAGGCTTCCTCCCTTTTATTAACTACCAAACCAACTAATTTAAACTAGCTCTTACCACGTGTTTACATTCACAAAAACACATTCAGACTGACTCTACGCTATGCCGCCCTCTGTCTCTATCAACCCTCTAATTAAAATCCCCTAGCGCTACGTGCATATTTGGTTGCCCATGATTGAATTTTTTTCTCTTTCAAATTTAGATTATTCAAATGTGATTTCGCGCCGCCGTTAATTAATTTCAGCGCGAAAATTTTGATTTAAATTCGGTCACCACAACATATAGTTACATATTTTGTTAAATTCATTTTAAAATTCAAGATTATGTTCTAAAAAAATACGCATTTTCAAATACAAAATGTCTGCATCGCAATACCTCTGTGAATGGTTTATAGGTTGTGTTTATAGTGCGATACATACCACTTTTAACAATTTTTGTGACTTATTCACGGTTATTGTATTGTATTTGAAGGTAAAAATAAAATTGTATTATTTCTAACAAGCTGCAAAATTTTTTAATTAAAAAAAGCATTTTTCCAACGAGTGCTGAATGTAGGAATATTTTCTAGAAACTCCGTACTTTTTAAGATAATTTGAGATAAAATATTTTTAAATCCTGCAAAATAAGGCAATCAGAATTTAATTCAAAATTGAAAAAATCAATATTCCATATTAAATTAAGTACTTAACATACAGGTTTTATGAATTTCAGTAGTTTATTTTATAAAGCGAATGTAATAATTCTTATTATGGGTGAAACGTCGTATATAAAAATACATACTATGCTATTAAAAATTAAATGAGTTAGAGTTGACCAGGAGATCAGTTGTATAGGTGGTGGTACTACAGTACAAATGACATTATATCATCTGCTCTGGTAAAAAAAAATCGAAAAATCCGAAACAATGTTAAAAAGAATGCTTAACAGATAATGCTAACAAGTAATTTATTTTATTTTCGAACGCACGGTATTTATCTATGTTTTAAGAACTTAACGGAAATATGTTTGTAGTCAAGTGAAAATGTTAAAATTTGATTATCAGTCCAACTGTATTATAATTTATACAATAACTAGCGGAACCCGGCAGACGTTGTCCTGCTTGTGTATATATTTACTTTGTATATATGTGGATATAAATGTATGGTCTGGAGCGCAGAATGCGTTGTAGAAAACTGAATAATAAGATAACTCATATTGATGCTATTCCATTTATTTTCATTAGTATACACAATGTACACATTTTTGTATTAGTAATTCACGTGAATGAACAAAATTTTTGACTATTGTATGCGCTATATATGCTAGTCCAAAAGGTATAAGGTTATATGACCATTATAAAAGTAGTTGACCGCAAATAAGTACCCCCTTTGTGTGGTTCGCACTAAGCTTACCCGGTTGGCAATAAATCGTCTTCTCAACATTTCTTGCTCATATTTAACAGGGCCGGCTTTCAAAGCGAGTGGTGATTTCGGAACCCTCAGCGGCTGCAGGTAGTAAAGAAATAATGGAGTGGTGGATTTACATATTTAGTGAAAGCCGTCCCTGAACGAAACCACAACAGCCGGTCGAGCTCCATTGGACACGTTATTTACGATCCTAAAACCTTTTCTATTGTAAACAACTTAACTTCGACACAATGGGATAATTTTATGATGGCCATATAACCTTATAGCTTTTGGTCCACTATAACTGAAACAACTTGAACACATTTTAATCAATACTAACATCTATCGTAACGCTAGTGGGTAAACAATATTTTTGGTTTTTCGATTTGGTGTATAGACGTACAGAGTTTTTGGAATTCCTACTCTGGAGCAAGCAACATACAGTTGACCATGCGAAAAACATGGATTTCCTAAATTTAATCCGGCAACGCGCAGAGACTGCCCTTGGGCTTTGTTGATTGCCATCGCGAAAGCAAGACGCACAGGAAACTGTAGTCGTTTGAATGTAAAGGGCAAATCAGTAGGAACCATTGGAATGCGCGGAATCAGTTTGATTTTTTGGATGGCATTTTCAATAATCTCTAGTAATTCACTCTTTGTTATTACTGAGGATTGTAGACAGTGAACATCACTAATGATTTTATTTTGCGGTCAATACGATTTTTGTTGTAATACCAACGAAAACAATGCTGTCATTGGTGCCGCCATATATCTAATACTTGCTAACTCTTCAGAAGTAACATAGAAACGGTGTTCACGGACAAAGGGAGACGGAAGATATTGTTTTCTGTCTAGAAAAGTACCGAGGGTCTGTGCGCACGTACAGAAAATAGAAGCGAACGTATGAAATGTCAAAACACATCTAGTCACGTTATCGACTAAAAATCAAGCAAGTACGAGTATATGAGCAGTACTGTTTGGTACTATAGAGAGACCACGGCTGTAGAATAGATAGGTTGAGTATCTTTCATTCATTCACGTTCCGGTAGGTGGAATAATTTCTTTCCGTACCAGTTGGCCATGACGCGCGTTGTCAAATGGGTCCCTCTTACGGTATTTAGAGGCATTAACTTTTGCCACATCAAAAGGACACGATTATACCGACATAAATGACAACTTTGACATTTAATAATATTTTTTATGTTAAACGTTCAATATTTTGGAAGCGTCTTCGATCATTGTTTACACAAGCCACTATGCGATTTCTCTGAAACCGTTTTTACAAAACTCTCGTATGACACCCCTGCCCTGATCACGTTCCTACTCTTCAAATGTTGTGAGAAATGTTTGTAGATTTGAAAGTTAGGAACGTGATCAGGGGTGTTGTATGAGGTTTTTGAAAAAACGTATTCGGCAAAATCGCAGTAGCTAATGTAATCAGTTACCGAAAAGTTCTTAAATAGTACTTGTTTTTCGAAAGAATCTGTGTTTACCTGGTCACCGCACATGCTTGTTTAAATGAATGTTTACATCACGTTTATATGAAACAATAGTGCTTGAAATATCAAACAAATCTGCGGTTTCCGAGGTTTGTTATGTAAATGTACGTTCCTCTCTGAATTGGCGATCTCGTTAAACTAATTTAAACAGTAATTTCTATCAATAAGTTCATAATACATCAACTAGAAGTAGAATGACAGTTTTGGCAGCCTGTCAGTTGTCAATTTGGCACTGCAGTAGTGAAAAATTTCATTCATAAAGATGTTAGTGCGTAATAGTATTTCACAGATGGCGATACGGTCGTAATCGCGCCTAAGCCTCCTAGGACCACCATATTCTATTCCACCAAATTTCCCTTAGTGTACCAACCTTATATTCTACAGCCGTGAGAGAGACAAAGAGGTCCGATATATTGCTTTGCCGTTGTGTTTTCGGACTCTTTTGAGGCCTGATAGCAATATAGTAGTATTCGATATATGGGTGCCGCTGATTCTCTAAGTTCATAATACTTTAACAGAGAGGCTGATGTGCTGCAGTGCCATCTAGTGGCAAGTTACAGCAAAATCGATAACGCGAAAATATTCTCCATGGTCAAATACCAACGTATATCAATTTTCATGAGGATCGGTTGATTGGTACAGAAGTTGATGTGTTGCAGCGCCATCTAGTGGCAAGTTACAGCAAAATCGATAACGCGAAAATATTCTCCATGGTCAAATACCAACGTATATCAATTTTCATGAGGATCGGTTGATTGGTACAGAAGTTGATGTGTTGCAGCGCCATCTAGTGGCGACTTACAGCAAAATGGATAGGGCGAAAATATTCTCCATAGTCAAATGCCAACGTGTACCAATTTTTATGAGAATCGGTTGAACGGTGTAGAAGTTGATGTGCTGTAGCGCCATCTAGTGGCTAGTTACAGCAAAGCGGATACCACAAAAACCTTCTCCATGAAAAACCACTTACATGTGCCAAATTTCATGGTGATCGGTCAAACGATTTCGGAGTCTATCGATCACAGATATATATATATATACCAACATCCATTTTTATATACAGGGTGTCTCAGAAATAAGTACATTAATTTTAACCAGTAACAGAACTCGTGAAACGGAACAACTTTTTTATCTAGCATTTTTTCGAAAACTCAAGTCGAATTTCGAATTTTCCCACCCATATATTGACGAGCCGTCTATGTTCACCTTAAATAATAACTTAAATAATAGCAACACTACAACAATGAAGAAGGTACCGTAGCAACCGTTTTGACACTGACAGTCATTTTTATGTCAATGTTTTTATTAAACGTTGTCTCTTTAAAGTTTGTTTGGCACAGATTTCTAATTTATAGTCGAAATGTGTTGAAATGGCTTTGTTTTCAAATCTCGAATGCACCGATATCGTTTTAACGTACGGTGAAGCTCGGGGAAGCGGCACTTGCGCCCAAGGAATTTTTTCAGAAAACCTTCCAAATCGTCTGCCAAATGTGCGCAGTTTTAAGAACGTTGCAGCATTTTCGAGAGTACGGATTTTTTAAACCTGCACCTCAGTATCGGGGTAAGTTACGTAGTAATAGAATTGCTAATATTGAAGAGGCTGTTTTGAAGAGTGTCGAAGCTCGACCGGGCACTAGCACGTATCACTGTCTAGTGTGATCTATCGGAGAGTAGTATTTGGAGGATACTCAGAGAACAAATGTACCCCTTTCAGGACCAGAAAGTTCAGTTATTGAAACTAACAGACTTACCACGTACGCAAAACTTTTGTGAGTGGGTTAATAGAAAAATAAACGAACAAGCAAATTTTGTATCTCTTATACCATCAACTGATGAGGTCGGTTACACGAGGGAAGGTGTTCAACACCCATGTTTGGGCCGATGAAATTCCGTACGCCATTAGGGAGCAGGATTTTCAATTTCTCTCTAAATGTTTGTCACATTGACAAGATTAGGAAAATACGTATCCTAGTAACTGTTTTTGACCATAAATTATTAATTATAATAATTATTAGTGTCCATGGGTGACTGAGGATCCATGGGCGGGTAACCTTAATTGGGGTATAACTTTAACAATTTTTAACTTGATAATTAAAAAGTTCTTGACAAAACTCTACTAAGAAAAGTTGTTGAGTTCAAAGCGCTCTATAACTGATTAAAATTAATGTACTTATTTCTGAGACACCCTGTATATAGATTATGTTATTGAATGATAAATTTTGCTGAGGACTATTTTTTTTTTATTTTGGATACTACATACCTGTGCTACATACGTATGGAATCATATTTATAGTACAAATGTAGGTGTAGCAACGAAAAAGTAGTTTTGTAACTGTCAGATATTTTGAAGCTACTTAAAGGTCTTAAAAAAACAAAGGCGAAAAGTGAGACTGTAGTATGGAACCGTAATACATACCTTTACATTGCGGCAACGAGAATTGGTGCTTTTTTTTTGTTCACTCCTTTCATTTTTGAAAAAAACTTATGTAGGGTTTAAATCTCTGCCGTTATTATCATTATGAAATTATTAAATTTAATATTTCGCGCGTTTTGGACATTTAAACTGGCGCCATCTATCTCACTTCAGCAATAATGTAAAAAGGTGCCAATGTCAAAGCCTCCGAAGCGTTTTGTTGATTGATTGAAGTTTTTGTAATTTTAACCTATTAAAACAACAATGTTTGAAGAAAATTCGCGAAACCTTTGCCGAGCCTGTTTGACGGAAACGGGTGAATTCCAATCAATATTTGTGCCAGACGAAGAAACGGGGCTTTCAATACATCTTTCAGAAATGATAATGGCTTTTGCTTCAGTCCAGGTAAATAACAAAGTTGTAAACTAAATTGTACTTTGATTCTTAACAATTTTCTAGGTAACACTTGGAGACGGTCTACCTGAAACGATATGTTCAACATGCGCCAAAGATACCGTAAAATTGTATTTATATAAATTAAAGTGTGAAGAATCGGATAAAACGCTACGAAATCAATTAGGTAAAAGCCCCCCCATAGAACCTTGTACAGCGGAAGAGAAACCTTGCGTAGAGGATAACGATAACGTGGACGTTTTTAACATAGTGATTAAGCCAGAATTAAATTCGGAAGATTCGCAAATTCATCAGGATGTGGATGATGACTATGACGGTTTTAATATTCAAGAGAAAAGTGATAGTGATGTAGAAGCTACTGAGCTGATTCCAAATAACAGTGGAGAATTTAAATGCCCCCATTGTCATAAAATATTTAATAAAGAAACCACATTAAACCGTCATGTTAAAACACACACAGCAATTAAAGCATATAAGTGTAATATTTGTAACAAATCCTTCTCTCGTAATGATTTGTTGTTACGACATAAAATAGCACATGCAATGAAAATGGCAGATCAGTCTTTTGAATACGATAATAATAGTGATGATGCAGATCAGGATGATGAAGGTGAAACAGTGGTAGTCAAAACAGAAACTGCTTTATATCCTTGTGCAGAGTGCAACCTGATATTTGTAAAAAGGGATGAATTAGATGCACATGTACAGGAACATAAAGGCAAAAGTGATATAATTTGTAAAATTTGTGGAAAAAAATTTAGTAAACAGGCTCACCTCAATAGGCATATGAAGATACATTCACAAAATAAACCTTATGTGTGTTCCACTTGTAATAAAGGGTTTGTCAGATCTGAACAACTTAACAACCATATGAACATACATTCTGGCATTAAACCACATGTTTGTGCTATCTGTTTGAAAGGTAAGACATTTATAAAATTGTCTTTACACAACTTAAAATCTATTATTATGCTGTTTGTTTAATTGTTTAGGCTTCAACCAAATATCAAATTTAAAGGACCATATGCGCACACACAATGGAGAAAAGCCTTTCCTATGTTCTACATGTGGAAAGGGGTTCAACCAATTAGGTAATCTTCGCCAACACACCATTAGACATAGTGGCATCAAAGCTCACCTCTGTAGTACATGTGGAAATGGTTTTGCAAGTAAAGGAGAACTATCAGCTCATCTTCGTAAACATACAGGTGTTAAAGAGCAGTAATATTAGCGATTTATACCAAATGGTGTTTGCAGGTGCTCGTCCATTTGTGTGCCCCATATGCAATCATGGTTTTACAACTTCAAGTTCTTTAACAAAACATAAACGAATTCATTCAGGAGAAAAACCATATGAGTGTGATGTATGTAAAATGAAATTTTCAAGGTCGGGGATTTTAGCGAGACATAAACGGACCCATACAGGAGAAAAACCATATGTTTGCAAGTTTTGCACTAAGGCGTTTTCACAGTCAAATGATTTAACTTCACATTTACGAATTCATACTGGTGAAAAACCTTACATTTGTGACGTTTGTGGACAAGCATTTAGACAAAGTTCAGCTTTAAAGACACATAAGAAAACTCACATTGACAGGAATCCTATACTGGATACAAAGCCTCTCATAGGGGTTTTGCATGCGCCGTTTTATAATGTTAACAGTATAATGAATGCCAATTAATTTTGTTTACACTTTATTTATTGTAAATATACGGAGTTTTACATAATATATTAGTTGTAAATATTATCAATGCCAGTGACAACAGCTGCATTATTGTTATTTGTTTTAAATATATTGCTCAAAATAAAGTCCAAGGAGTACCTAATTGAATGTTTGAATGTTTTAATATTTCCTAGTAGCTTTTAAGGAAAATTTGATTTTGTGTAAATAAATGTGGTTTCCAACATGAAAAGAGTTGATGCATTTAAATTGTTTGGAATTTTCTTGTTGACAGTACATGTCGGTTAGTTAGTAAATGATATTATCGATTTAAACCCCAATAGGCTTTATGGCATTGTGATTTAAAGACTATTTTTGCGTGTTGCGTGTCGTGACTTTTTGACATTCAGTATCGCATTTGTAAACAACGTATACAAATTTGAATTGTTTTAATCAGTAACGTTTTTGTGTTCATTTAATTTGTGCTGCAATCAAGGTAAATCTTTACATTCAGCAGGAAAATTGTTATTTTATTAATTACTACTCTTGCACGCCCGAAAAAGTGGCTACTGGACGTTTTTCGGGCGTTTTCATTTTTTTTTGTAACTGCTTTTAGTAATAACGACTGTCAGAAATCATTCTTTGTGATATTGTTTTAAATTTATAAAATTAAATGGATATATTAGGTAGAAAAAGATATTCCTCGCCCCACGTTCAGTACCATAACCTCAATATTTGACACATTTTTTTTGGTAAGAAGAAAAATTATACCAACCTTTGTATTTGTCTGTTTTGCTTCAGACTTTTTCTTGTAATGATTAATAAAAATAAACTGACGTTTTTCTGTTCTTAATTTATGAATAACAATTAGGGGAGAGTGGTGCTGAATGAAATAGTGGGTACATTTGAATAGTTTATTAAATTTGTGCCGACCAGAAATAAAGCGAAAAAAATATAGCCGCATAGTTTGTAGAAAGGCAAAAAAGCAGTACTTGAACTTCGACGAACTGGAAAATAGGTCTAAAATATATTGATAGAGGGGCGGGAAATATAAATATCTTCATCTTGTATTATATTGCTGGTTGCATATACAAAAATATAATCACAGCATAGATAACAATCAGTAGAGACAGCTCGTGTCGGCGCCTTTGTTCTTTCTGACCCGAATTTTAAGCCGTCATGGGTGGTCGTTGCCTAAACTATTCCTAGATGTCGCCACCCAATTTAAGAAGTATCACTGCATTTACAATTTCAAAAATTGATTCGTACGCAATTTATTGCAAACTGTCTAGTTTGCTCAAATCGTATAATCGTGAATCGCAATAAGAAAAAAGAAAAGTCCATATTTAATTTATAAACACGCTGATTTGTTACAGTTTTTATTTTATTCATAACCACCGTTGTTGTTCGTTTGCGACGACTTTTTAAACAAAAAATGTGTTATGTTTACTATCTTTTCCAAGAATTCCAAACACGAGGGAGAGAATAAGGCGCACAACAGGGATCCGGTATGAAAATTCATCGGACAAAGATTTTACCTTTTATTGTGAAAATTACATTTTTATACTATTTGTACAATTCTACCGGAAAAGCAGTCTTAAACAAGCAAAACTGGCAAAAATATTGTAACAAAACTGCCAAATTTCAAATATTTTAGACGTCAGTTGGGCGCCCTCATTCGGTCATAATGCGAACAACCACCCACGAAAACGGGTCACGAAAAACGGCGAGCCGTCTCTACTGATTGTTATCTATGCTGTGATATAATTTTCTTTTACAGTATGATCCAAAATTTTTCAGATAAAGGGAGGCTGTGACGATAACACGTAGGGGATGATAGATACAGGGCTGATGTATTGGAAAGAAATAGGACAAACTTACGTGCATTAATCAGAGCCTCCCTTTATCTAAAAACTTTTGGATCATACGGTATAAAATTTAAACTTATAGACATAATGAACAATCGTTACTCTAGAAACAGTTACGTCCCGAGACAGCATTAAAAGACACGACCACAGATAGCCATGGATTTTTGAAAGTTTGTCTCTGATCGTTGGTTGCATTTTCAACACCTGAATTGACAGTAATCTGACAAGACCAAAATTCTATCAAAGACAAGTGTTCAAAAGTCCATATATTCGAACAAAATTCCGATTCAACAATTTTCCTGTTCTCCTTTGTTCTGTTCTACATAATAACACCCTACATTTTTTTTCTTCTAAAATTCGTTTTGCCTAGGAAATTTTCATATAAAAAATTTCATTTTTTTGTCATTTTGGTAATTTTTGTTATTAGCGTGAACACCTACTGGTTACAGTTTGCTGTTTCGATAGCGCATCAGTTATACAAGCGATTATAAAAAATTGTGCATACATCAAGTTGGCTTTGAAATTTTGTGAAATGTGCCGTCTCTTTGTGATAATTGATGACTACTCGTCGCTTGTCATAAATGTTACTCACAATCTAACTTTTTTCAGTTTTTGTAATCGACTCCATCGGTCGACTCTCTACTTTTACGTTTTCTCGACCTTTCATGACCCCTAGAGTACGAAGCAATAGGTCTCCCGTTTCCCTCTGTTTGTCCGATTGTCTGAAAATACTGAACCGATTGTTTTCAAATTTTGTAGGAATATCATGTAGATGGTAAAACGCTAATGAAAATTTGCCCCACCAATAATGTAATGACGCCACTTCAACATTGTACATAGTAAATGGATTTTAAATCGTATAAAATATAAAACAACATTTTGCAATTTAATTTTGAATCTGCAAAACTGAATGCTTTGAAATCTTGCAGATCTTTTAAAGTGATGATAAGCATGATAAATTTTTAATCAAAATATGTTTGCTTACCCCCTCCAAAAAATTGATGACGTCAGCTCAAAATTTTGCCGAATAAATTCTACCCAAAATGTGCAAGATATGATGAGTTTTTACTTGTGATTTATCACTGTATTAATATTTTTTAGATTTGCTTAAACAGGTGGCTCAAAAAAATTAACGTATGAGTCAGTTTATTTTATGATTAAATCAGGAACGGCTTACTCCATTTTCCCACAAAATTTTGGGAATACAATACTGTTATTTTTAGTATTACACTGCAGCAATCCAATCGTACATTTTTTTAAAGAAATGTGGATTTTGTAATTATACTCCGTTCTTCGAAGTAACAATAAATGAAAAATTCATCACAATTGGGATAGAGGCGGGTGGGTGGGGCTTAATCATTGACTTCTTTTCCTTAATGGTAAGAGTCTACTTTCAACAACATAATACTTAAAACATAATTCTAACCTAGAATTTTCGATTTTATAATTCTAACCTTGAATTTTGATTTTTTCGATATTTTATGTATTTTATTATTGAAATGGATAAGCCCCACCCACCCGCCCCATCTCAATTGTGACAAATTTTTTTATTCGTCGTAAGACCGAGGGGTGGAGCTTAATCGCAAAGTCCATATTTCTGTACAAGAAAATATTGAGTGAAATATGTTTGAAGCATTATCGTACTGTTTTGAGAAAAAATAGGAAACGAAGAAGAGAAAAAACTTTACAAAAATAAAACTTCACAAGATTTTGCTAATAAACAGATTAAGCAAAAAAAATGTGCAATTTAGTTGGACCGTGGAATGTCAAAACTCTTTTGAACATTGAAAAATGCTTCCCACCGATTTTACAATATCCAAATTTTGCAGAACACTTTTATTTTAAAAACTGACGCTTCTTCTGTTGCATTAGGAGCCGTATTTATATATCTTTTATATTTGTTTTTCACGAGACTAAAGTGCAAAAAGAAATCGTTTAAAATGCGAGCGCAGCGAGCATGCGTGGGTGTTATTAAAAATAATAACAGACGGAAACGGGAGACCTATTTTTTCGTACTCTAAGGGTTATAACAAGTCGAGAAAACATGAGGGTGTAGTCATAGAATTTCACGGAACACCAGAAAAAATAATCCGAATTTTTTAACACTTTGACAGAGAACTTTTGTAAAGTTTACGTTACTATAGTGAGGGTTACAAATCTGTGTAAGGAAAAAACTCAATTCGAAAATGCTGGACATGTTTCATTGTACTTCAGGAACGAAAGAAGTTCTGTCGAAACAACTTTCGACCAATTTGTTTAGTGTGTTTTTTGCGTGATGAGTAGGCAACCAATAATTTAGGTGGCATAATAGAATATTAAAAAAGCCGTGAAACATTTTGATGTACGACATTTCATAGTCACCCTGTATATGACTATGTAGCTTTATAAAAAGCAGTTTTCACTAGGTGATAATAATTTCTTTTGAATTGGTATAAAATTTTGTTTTTTACTTCACTTTCCAAGCGTAAGCTGAGCAAGTATTGTAAAGACTCAAAAACAATTATTAAGTTAATAAGAAATAAAGAGAAGAATAAGGATTAGTAAATATCACATAGACATAGACACAAGTATTGTCGTTTGTTACACGTATTTGTACGTACTGAACATTTTTATTTAATATTTCTTATTTTGGAATTGTGTTTGGATTTTAAAAGGGTCCATTCGACGAATGGCTAGAGTCATGTTTTCTGTATGCATCATGATCTCTAGAGGACGAAACAGAAGGTCTCCGTTTCCGTCTATTCGCCTATTCAACAAATAATCTTCGAAACTACCGGACCGATTGTTCAAATTTTAGATGTATGTTATGTAGATGGTAAAACGCTAGCCAAAATTTGTCTAAACACCCCTACTAACGATGGGTGACGTCATCTCCATAACTTACAACAGTAAATGTTATTTAAATTTCATAAAATAACATACTCCTTCGCTTGTCGTTTATGAATCCGTGTTGAGTTTTCCCCTGGACATTCAAATTTTTGAAAAAAAAAAAACAAAATAGTGTAACATTTTTCAAAGTTTGAAACTGCAAAACTGAATCCTCTGAAATCTTTAGAACCTTTTAAGGTTATCGTAAACATGGTAAATCATTAATCAAAATTTAGCCGTTTATCCTCTCTCAAAAAATTAATGACGTCATCACGAAATTTTGTCCAATAAATGTTATTTAAATTTTATAAAATAACGTATCCTGCACTTGTAGTTGTTTTTTGATTATTAGTTTTTAAGATTTATTACAATTTTTAATATGTTCCACCGTTACGGCGTGGTGATAACGCAATTTTTGTTATACAAAAAAATTAAGTGACGTCATCAATTATTGGTAGTAGATAAATAGACAAATTATCTGTAAAAATTGAAGGTTAGTGTTGTACCTATACATAAATTATTACAACGTGGTTGGCGAAACGCGTAGACAATTTTTGTAATTGATGAACTCTTTTAGTCCTGACAGAATTATATCACTGTAGCTATGCTAATTTTGGATTTTTAAATAAACATTATATTAAATCGTTTGATTTTTTCTCGTTTTCAGAATGGCAGTACCAAGCGACGCTCCGAATACCATCCATTTAATCAGAGATTTCTGGCCAGACTTACAGTTTCATAAAGACGACATTTTACGAGGCAATCCTGATTTCATTAAACTCTTTTACGTGTATCTCATTAACGATTTCAATGAAAAAATTGCGTTTTTGATAAACGAGGACCTTGGCGGAGACGACTTTGATAATCTGAATTACGACGATGAAGTAAAATTATACTGCAAAGTAGCAAACGTGTTCAAAAGGATGCAGCAACACTCACTCAGTCTAGTGGACTTTTATGCCTCAGCAGGCAAAAAAATGTACCACTTGGTGAAGTTTTCCATACACTTTGTAATTTACGTGAACAATTGTGCAGACGAGGTGTCAGTTATTATAAATGACCATTTAAAAAGTCTCGCCGATTTTGAAAACAACAAAATGGAAGAACAACAGTTGCTGCAGACATACGCTGAAATCGTTGAGAGTTTGGCGCACACCAGTGACTTGTCAGAATCCTTACTGCAGAAATTAGACCAAGTAAAAGAAAACTATCAGAAGGTGTTGGAACACAAAGCGAACGATGAGAGAGTTTCTGCACAAAATATTCTCGAAATGAAGGAACTACAGAGCGAAGTCGATTATCTAGAATATGAGTTGAAGTTGCTAGAAGAAAAGGAAAATGAGCTACAGGAGGCCGTAATTTCCGAAAACGAACTCGAACATTTAAAAGAAACTGAAAAATGTTTGGAAATTGAATTGCAGGAACTAAATCGTGATTTTTGTGCTACATGGGATAACGTGACGGATTCAGAAAATGTGAAACGCCACGAAGACTTTGCAAAATGTTTAGCTAATTTGGATCTAGAAGCTTTGAATGTTCATAATTTACAGGAAATTAGACAGGATGATAACCAAATGGCAAATATTGTGAAAACAAATCAAGATGAATTAAATTCGTTGAACAATACTGCGTCTGACAAGAAGGCGAAACTAGACGTTTTGAAACAAACGCTAGAAAAAGCTCAAGCCTTTCTCACAGAGTTAAAAACTAAAGTCGCCGCTGACGAGCAAGAAGAAAAGGAATGTATTTTTCAAGAAACTCAAAAATGTGCCGCCAATTTCGAAGAAAACCAGAGAATAGAAACTCTTAAAATTCACCTCCAAGAGGATATAAGCAACCTAGAAAACGACGAACGGAGATTGAATACAGCAGTCGCCCAAGAATATCGGAGAATATTAATGTTAGACAAGAAAACTACCACCAAATTTCATAAAATGCTGCTAGATTTAACAAACCGCCATGTTTAAAGTTTTTTGTTTTGTACTTTTTTATTATTAGAACTGGAATAATTTTTGAAGTGAAAGGGTTGTCTAAAATGTTGTATAGTTTTAGAGTTGATTCCGAATTGTGGACAAAGGACGATAATGCGAGCTTGCTGCAGGAAAAGACAGCTCACGTTGCTTGAAGCGTGAGTGGTATTCACCGGCTGCGTGCTCCCCTGGTGTATTATTTTGTTTCCTTGTCTCACATACTCTTTACCAATGTCAAGAAATGTTGCGCTAGTAAAGTTCCAGCCAAGCTCGCGGTAATACGAAATAATTTTGTTACGGTCGAATAGTGCGGTTCTATAGTGAAAGTTAAATATTGGTTTCGTATTTTTATAGTTATGGTTAATATCAGAATATTCAAAGCCTTGTGTAAGTATAGCATTTTGCGTAGATTTATACTTGGTGATTTAACGGAGATTTTTTTTTCCGGAAATAATGATTTCATTCATATAACCTCACGGTAATAGCATGTCTTTTGTACATATAATTAATAATAGTAATAATGACGGATAATTAATTTCAATTTAAATATATTAATAAAAGTCTGTTTTCTAATGAATTTAAACTAATACCAAGAGCTAGGTAACTTTACCCTTTTACACTTACACATCTAATTTTAATAGATCAAATTAGATAAAAGTGAAGGTAAGGAAGATGACTGTATGAATATAAAGTGCTGAATTTCTGAATACCCAAGTATATGCTGCGTAATGAATAGTAAAAAGTTTCGTATACCTGGACTCTATATCTAGTCTATATAAATCATCTATATTATAAAACGTTAATATACACCATTATTTTCTACCCACATAGCGCTAAAAAATACACGGGCTTTATAATCAGTCAAAATAATGCAACGTCTTCATTTTTGTACCTCATTTTTCCCAGACGGAAGTGATACTGTTGCAGACAATTTGCACAATACCATGTATAAGTAAGTGTTGTAATAGAGTTGAAACTTGAGTTCAACTGGGGACATTGGAATGATCTAAGGAAATGTAATTAGTGAAACTGTCGATTAATTGTTAATTAACTATTGATAAACCTGACCCAACTGTCAATTCTCTGTTACTACCTACTTTTGCACAACGACGACCTTGGGATAAAAAAATCTTCAACAGTTGGTCTGAATGTCATGCAGTCTAAATTTGTGCGTCAAACTTTTTCAGTATTTTTCAAAAATTGCAAAAGTTTAAACTTTATTCGTATTTTAGAGATCCGCTAAAACTGCAGTTTACTTAGAAGATGTGTGGAAGTTCTTGAAAAGCAACATCAATTAAAACTGGTTAAAGAAATCATTTTTATAAATATTGAAGTAAAAATAGCTGTTTTTCAATATTGATATTATGTAAAATTCTTTGACAAGTTAATTGTCGTTCAATGAAGATATCTATTGCCAACGACAGAACTATTTTTGTATTGTATTAAAGAACTAAGAAAAATTGGTGGAAAGCAATTTTTGAGATTTGATTTACGTAGGTCACCCTTTAGAAGTTGTACTAGAACTATAACTCTTTAATGGCAACTCCCCATGGTTGTATAAGAGAACAATGTTTTGTTTATTATTACCTATGTATTTATTTATAGATTTTTTTGGTTTTGTTCTGATACCTAATAAAAATTGCCAACAGACTGGAAGAAGAAACTTGCACTTTCGTATTCTGGTAGTTATGAAGAGCTTAATGCATACTATTTATCCGTATTTCTTTAGCTTTTTTCAGACAGAAGATTCGTTAACATCACACTTGACTGAACTTCGATTCCCTTGAAAGCACAATCGGTGTCATATTTTTTACGAATATAATATATAAAAACACTAAAAATGAATCTTGGACGTCAATTTTCCGTCATTTTGAAAATTTTGTAGCCTGTGACATTGACATTGACATCGAAGATTTTGTGCTGCAATTGTACATTGTTGGATTTTTTAGATTTTTTTAAATAAAATAATAGTTGATTAGCATCCTTTCGTGGTATTTCCTCTAAAGAGATAAAGATAACTATTCTTAAATTATGGTCAAAGTAGCATTTAAGAATATGGATTTTAGATCAACTTTAATAGCTTCGTGCTCTAAATGGACATAATTATTTAATCTACTTTATAAAATAAACGCTTATTCGCGCCGGAGTTGCATTTTCTCCTGCTATAATAATTATTCTTTTCATATAGAAGGAAAAAACTGTTATTAAATTATGTATGTAATTTGATTGAATGATTGATTGATTAATTCATTGTCTCCTTTTCTTAAGACCATTTCATTGCATCCTGAAAATTTCAAAAAGTCCGTTATAGTAGAATTGAAGTGAATTCTTTTTTTATCGGTAATTAATAATAACAATTATACGACAGGACAATAAATAACACCATCAAAGACAACGATGGATTTTTGGAAGTTTGTCTTTGATTGAAAATCCCATCAAGGACAACTCTTCAAAAAGCAGCTCTTTCATTGATGTATGGTTTTATTAAAAAAAAGTAACTACATATTTTTGAAACTAAAATTTCAATGCTAACTTTAACAATAGTTTCCTTAGCTGTTATTTGGACACTAAGTTTTTTTAAAGCGTAGGAAAATATGTTAGGTGAAGATTTTCTCTTGTACGAACCGAAAGGAAAACTTGAAACACTATTCACAAATTTTATTGATTAAGGAAATTTGGAAGGAACGTGTACAACCACATGTTGATTGTTATTCCAAATATGTTTGAATTACCGGTTTATTTCAAGTGAATATCACAATAAATATCTAACAGATGGTTACGTAAACATTATTTACTTCACCATTCAGTTCACTTTATGTGCTGCACGTTCATTACAACGTGCATAAATAGATGGATAGGTGGAAACCTACAAAGTTTTGACAACTTTATTTTTGCAGGTGCGTGTGGGTATATTGGTTACTATACCACGTGTTGTAAACACAAACACACGCTTTTTCTGATATTTACCGTTTGCTGTGAAGTGTGACTATGAATAAACTTCCTAAAGACTTTTAAAGTTTCAGTTATGTAAAAGTCAAATATTAAACACAACGTGACTGACTTGGAAATTTGAATTGGGAGTTTTAGACAAAGAAAAACTTTGTTTACGGTTGTGCAGAAAATTTAGGATAAATGTATTAATTTTGTTACAATGTGAACAAAAAAATTGGTCTAATGTTATTAGTGTTGCTCTTATATTAGTAATTATAAAATGTTGCACAATTTTGATTTTTTTTTATTTTTATAGGTTTCACGAGTGCTAGAAAACGAAAATGCAAATTTCTCTTTTTCGTCTATTTGCCCGCGAGTACCTCATCTCTTTGTTGTCTCAGGAACGGTTTTTCTAATTTCAAGTTCGCATGTAGATACGTCGACCAAATACCTGAAAACATCATATCATCCAGTTCATATTAAATTTATTGAAAACCTTGTTTGCCTGAATTGGACATATGTATACAACGTGACCTGTGTTCTACATTCAAATGGATAAAATATACTAAAAGTGTGTCTAATAAATCGGTGAACTATAACAGCCGCTTATAGCATACACAAATAAGTAACAATTGCTAATAAAAATAGCAAGTGTGTTAAGGTGATCTTCTAGACACCATTGGGAATGGGAGAAAGGTAACCGCGATCAACTCACTATAAATAATTCTTCCATCTTTTATGAAATCAAGAACTTATTTTTTTCTGTAAATATGTCATAAAAAGGCGATGGTATAAAGTCCCAGTTCACATAACAACTTTGCAGCTGGCATTAACAGAGGTGTCTAACCGAACCTCGCAAGCACGTTGTTCAACATGCGATTTTCTGTTACGACACGTAAATTTACAGACGAGTATTAAATTGCAATGCGATGAATTATGGTTCAGTTAGCCTTAACATGGTATTAACCTCGTGATACACAGGAATACCTAAAATCAAAGAATTGACAATATTGAAAGTATTCATTTATAATTATGAGTTACGTGTTGAGGAAAACAAGTTGTTGAAAATTGAATACCGAATTAATTTATTTTTTATTTAGCGCATTGAATCCTGTCATTGGCAGAAAAGCCTTATTTTTATCCTGTTTGGGATATTTCTGGATTTCAAGGGCGCTATTTAATTTTCAAAGTGTTTGGAATGTAACTCGCTAATTTGCAAGGACAATACATAATATAAATACTCTTTTTACTTCCCGAGTGTAAGCGACTTTCTACTTTTACGTTTTCTCGACCTTTCATGACCCCTACAATACGAAGAGATAGGTCTCCCGTTTCCGTCTGTCTGTCTGTCCGTCCGTCTGTCCGTTTGTCCATCTGTCTGCCGTCCCGGATTTTTATTTGGTAATCTCCGAAAGTACTGGGCCGATTGTTGTCAAATTTTGTATTTATATCAGGAATATCATGTAGATATTAAAACGCTAACCAAAATTTGTCTAATCATCCCCACCAATAATGTGATGACGTCCCTTTAAAATTGTACATTACTATGTACAATTTAAAACCCATTTACTAATGGGTTTTAAATTGTATAAAATCATATAATCCTACACATGTAGTTTATGATTCCGTGTTGAGTTTTTACCCAAAACTTCCAGATTTTTGAAAAAAAAAAATCAATATTACAAAACAACATTTTGTAATTTAATTTTGAATCTGCAAAACCGAATGCTTTGAAATCTTGCAGATCTTTTAAAGTTGTGATAAGCATGATACATTTTTAATCAAAACATATTTGCTTATCCCCTCCAAAAAATTGATGACGTCAGGTCAAAATTTTGCCGAATAAGTCCAATCTAAAATGTGATTTATCATCTCATTCATATTTTTTGGATTTGCTTATACAAGGAGACTCAAAAAAATTAATAAATCAGTCAATTTATTTTATTGAATAAATCAAGAATTGCAAAATTGAATACTTTGAAATCTTGCAGACGTTTTAAAGTTATTGTAAGCATGCTTAATTGTGAATCAAAATGTGCAAAATATGATGAGTTTTTGCTTGTGATTTATCACTGCATTCATATTTTTTAGATTTGCTTATATAAATCAGGAACGGTTCACTCCATTTTCTCAGAAAATTTCGGTAATACAATACTGTTGTTGTTAGTATTACACTACACCAATCCAAGTTGATATACGTGTTCTTGCAAAAATGTTGATGTCATCACAAAATTGTGTAAAGTAAAAACTCAACTCGAAAATGCTGTATCTGACACAACCTGTAGTGTCATTTGTAGTAAAAGTAAAACTTCATTATTGAGGCCAGTGGGTATAAGACTTTCCAACATTTGAAATCATTATCAAATTTATTTACGTTATTTTCAAAATACAGATATAAAAAACCAAATTTGGAGTTTGAACATATAATGGAGAGAACTAGTTGCTATAATGTTTCACAAAAATAATGAAGAGATTTGAAAATACTTACTGAAATAGTAATCGGCCACTTGTGTAATTATCTAATAAGACATCTTTATTAACAATTTTTGTTATGTGTTGAAGTTAGTCACTTGTGTTAAAATATAAAATTATAAATACAATTTTTGGTATGTAGGTATACACTGCTCTCAAAAATATAAATTTGATAAAATATCCGCTTTGAAACTTCTGTCGTATATAATAGATTTAACTTTATCTGAAAGTTAATTTAAAGAGCGAAAATAAAGAAAGGGAAAAACAATGCTAATGGCTAATAGTAATAATAATAAAAATCATCTTGTTTCGATCAGTCTTTTGTGAATATATAAAAATTATCTTGCTATTTAAATGTACCTGCGCACACAGAGAGGATTATTGCTTTTTGAAAGATTCAAAATTCATATATACATTTTTTTGGTTGCTGAAAAAAAAAATTACAAAACTGCAGGGAAATTAGATGA